AGGGAAGCCAGGTTCACCGTATGAGTCCTTTTATACTACAGCTTGTTGGCACATACGTCTCAGTCGGGATACTACCCGTAGACGACTACACGACGGGGACAACTATTGACGCACTTGACCATTTTCACGTCCAGTTGCAGTCTGACAGACGAGGGTATAGTAAAGAGGTATAGTATAGCCCTCCAGGTGCAGTCTGACTCTAATCCCGACAACAGAGCCATTCGAGCGTAACTAAAATACGATAGATGCAACCAAAAAAAAAAAAAAGATGGACAAAAACAGAAAAAAGATAAGATAGATGCAAAAGAAAACCCAAAAGTAAAAAAAATAAAATAGCAAAGGTAGAGAAAACAAAAAACAAAAGAACCGCCCCATCATCATGAGCATTGCAGAAGGGGTCGGGATCCCCTCTCTCAATAAATAGACGGGACCGCCTCACTAGAGTCTGATGGGATTCCGACACGCGTCAGGTTTGTGCATGGTGGAAGGACACGTGTCTTTCTCTTTTTCTTTTTTTATTTTTTTTTTTCCAATTTGGACCATTTCTCGATTTATGCGTGTCATCTTTGCTTGCGCTGGGGCCATCATGATGCTAATCTTCTCTTTCTCTGTATCGTTCCAATTTTTTTTTTTTTTTTTTTTTTTTTAAAGGGCACCGGCCTTGAGATATCATCATTGAACTGACCAGCCCTAGGTAATTCAGCAATACGTAATTTTGTCAATCTGACTGCATTTGGATTCGACCTTGCGATTGTATTTCAGCAATTCCCAAATGCAGTTTGTATTTCAACAATTCCCAATTCATGGGTATACCAACTGTGACCTAGGTCCCGACATGAATTGTTGGTTCGTTCCAATGTTAACAGATGGTCCCAAAAGGCACCTGGGCGTGTTCTATATTTTTTTGATGCCTCAGAATTTCCCACATGAAATTCTCGACGATGCAGAAACCTGACACGTGTCCTATCGCAAGCAGATTTAATGAGCCGGATAGACCGATTGCTTGATTGCTTAATTGAGTGATAGATTGATTGATTGATGGATTGATTAATTGATTGATTGATCGATTAACAGATTGATGATTGATTCGGTGAGGGATAAAATAACGGATTGATTGAATGGGATATAGACCGATTGATTGATTGCTTAATTGATTGATTGATTCGGTGAGGGATAAAATAATGGATTGATTGGCTGGGATTAATCGGAAGTGGACCGCTTGCTTGATCCGATGTCTATCCCGATATTTTTCTCTTACGGTTTTTTTCTTTTTTCAGCACACACGCACACTTAATTAACCTTCAATCAATAAATTAATCAGTCGATACCTTCAATCAATAAATTAATCAGTCAATCAATCAGCAAACTAAGCCTTTTTGATTGATGGATCTGCCGGCCGTTCAATCGATTGACCGCTTGGTCGACTGATCCATCCACTCATCCATTGATTCATTAGTTGCTTACTGGATTGATTAATTGACTGATTGATTGCTTGATTGATTGATTGATTGATTGATTGATTGCTCAATTGATTGATTGATTGATTGGTGGATTGTCTGATTGATTGGTTAGTGGAATGCTTGATTGGTCGACTGATTGATTGATTGATCGACTGATCAATTGATTGGTTGGTGGAATGCTTGATTGGTCAATTGATTGGTTGGTGGAATGCTTGATTGGTCGACTGATTGATTGATTGATCGACTGATTGATTGATAGGTTGATTAGTTGATTGATTGATTAATTGATTGACTGATTGATTGATTGATTGATTGGTGGATTGATTGATTGATTGGTTAGTGGAATGCTTGATTGGTCGACTGATTGATTGATTGATCGAATGCTTGATTGGTCGACTGATTGATTGATTGATCGACTCATTGATTGATTGATCGATCGACTGATTGATTGCTTGGTTGGTGGATTGCTTGATTGGTCGACTGGTTGATTGGCTGATCGATTCCTTGATTGATCGATTGATTCCTTGGTGGATTGATTGATTAATCGGTTGGCGCATTGATGGATTGATTGCCGGTAGAATTGGTTGATTGATTGATTGATTGATTGATTGATTGATTGATTGACTGATTAATTGATTGGTGGATTGCTTGATTGGTGTATTGCTCGAATGGTCGACTGATTGATTGATTGATTGATTGATTGGTACATCGATGGATCGAGTAGTACAACCTTCGATTCATTGATTCAATGATTCATTGATTCACTGATTCATTAATTCATTGATTGATTAATTGTTTGCAGTGATTCATTAACTCAGACTGATTCATTGATTGACTGATTGATTCAGGGGCCATTTTGCTAATAATCTTCTTTCTCTCTCCCCTTCCAATTTGAATGGGTGTCCCTAAGGACGGTCCTGGTGTTTACCTCCTCGTTGTGATTTCGGCCGCCGCCTACGTAGCCTCAAACCCTAATCTTGAGTCCACACAAAAAATACACTTATAAACAGCCCGCACCTCAAAAATAATGATAATCATATATTATTAATAATAATATATAATTTAAAATAAATAAATAACGCACAAAAAATACACTTAAAAACAGCCAGCACCTCAAAAATAATGATAATCATAAATTAATAATAATAAATAATAATTTAAAATAAATAAATAACGTACAACTAATCCAAGATTCTTCGTTTCTAACAGTCCATTCGATCGGGCGGCCAGAGGAGACGACGAATCCGTGCAAGCGGAACCTGCCGCCTTCACCCAAATAGAACGCCCGGTCGTTATCGCTGTATCTCGACCCCGACAGTTGCCCCAAGTACACGGCACCTGCTCGGCTACCCTCTTCACCCTATTGCTGACCGGGGCGTTCTATTCGGGTAAAGAGGGTATCCGAGCCCCAAGTTAATGGACTCAGCTCAGGAAACATCGGCCACCCAAGGGTGGCATTTTTATTTTTTTTTTCTCTCACACACACTGTACCTTCTTTTTTTTTTCCCCCATTTTTTCTACCTCTTTTTTATTTGTTTTTCACACATTATAGTAGTTCTCACACGTGCCTTCTCGTATCTATCTTTGCTGAGTTGGGCTCCCTATTGTATATATTGTATGTATACGATATGTATATATCTATACTAGGCTACCAGCCGGGCCGCCCGGGATCACCCTATTTCCCCGGACGGCCCGGCCTTGCAAAAGGGGACCAGGGAAAGTCCTAGCAAAAAAAAAAAAAAAATCAAAAAATCAAAATTTCCGAAAAAAACTATGTTATGCAGAAAAAGAAACTGAACAACTTTTGCCTCAGAGTCTCATCGAAATTCTTTACCATATTTAAAATAAAAAATTTACCATATTTAAATTAAAAAATAAACTTAAAAACTAACTTTTATTTTCTATTTTCTTTGTACTTTTTTGGCCCCGGCGCACTCTGGTAGCCTAGATATATTGTCATATAAATTGTCACACTGTGAATCGGAACGCAAAGGCGGAAAAAAGCAAAACAAGGAAGGGAAAGAAAAAAAGTCAGGAAGGAAAGCCCCACCTAGATATATTGTCATATATATATATGTATATACGAAACTGACCGCTAACCCGTACGCAGAGAGGCAGAAGAGGAAAACAAACGAGGAATACCCATTATACTGTGTTACAGAAGGCGAAAAAAAGAGGACAACAAACGAGGAATACACATTTCTATTTTTTATTTTCTATTTTCTATTTTCTATTTTCTATTTTCAGAAGGCGACACTGACGATATATATATCATCACATGGATGTGAGAGCGCAAAAGCGAAAAGAAAAAAGAAAAAAGAATGAATTCGTTTTTCTATGTCTTCTTCCTTACAACTCCCCCTGTTCAGAACCTCATTTGCGTACAAGGCCGCCCACGTGGATGTAGGTTGAGCGGCGGCTGCCCCACACTGTGAATCAGAGCGCGAAGGCGAAAAAAAAAAAAACAAAGAAAGGAAAAAGAAGCAAAACAAGGAAAGGAAAAGAAGGAAGGAACCCAAGAGCCTAGCTCAGTGGGTAATACACAAATGAACTGTTGAAATACAGACCCGCGTTCGAATCCAGATGATGATGGAACCTGATAAAACCAAATATTTATGAATTGCCTGGGGCCGGTCACAGCTCAATGATGACATCTCGAGACCGTCGCCCTTCAAAAAAAAAAAAAAAAAAAAAAAAAAAAAAAAAAGGAGGAAGGAAGGAAAGCCCCACCTGTTTCATCACCACTTACGTACAAGGCCAGCCACCACTATGTGTCGGGACTCACATGATGACGTCACACTATATACTTACTTCTCACAAGAAACCAGCGATGTCTGCCGAGTCGCGATCCCAATCATTGCGGACCTGTATCTCGTATCAAAGAAAAGTGGGGACCACCTTCCCCCGAATAGAACGCTCACGGTAATTACTCTAATGTTTTCGTGTATCTGGATTGGAAGTCGTTCATCGTGCGTTCTACACGCGGGGGGGAAGATGGAAGTCACTGCTGGTGACTGCCACGTGGACGCCCCTCATTGCTGGTGACTGCCACGTGGACGCCCCTCACTGCTGGTGACTGCCACGTGGTCGCCCCTCNCACTGCTGGTGACTGCCACGTGGTCGCCCCTCACTGCTGGTGACTGCCACGTGGAGGCCCCTCACTGCTGGTGACTGCCACGTGGACGCCCCTCAGTGCTGATGACTGCCACGTGGACGCCCCTCAGTGCTGGTAGTCCTTCCCGCGCAAACGACGATGACGTCATCGAACCGACGGATCGTGTGATTGATTATTCTCAGAGAAAGATCTGTCTTGAGGCGCGACTCAAGTTATCGGTGACTTGCACGTGTTCGTGCAATACTGGAATGATGAGCCACTCAGGATACTTCCTTTTGCCCTTTTTCTTTGGTCCAATTTTTGGGGAAAAAAAAAAAAACAGTTTCTTAAATTAATACTAGTATCTTTTTCTTTTTTAGAATTCTTCTCCGATGGTAATTAAGTAATTTCCCCGCTTGGAAAACTCTCCGCCTCGTTACCTGCATGCATGTCTCGTCAAAATCGTGACCAAATCTGATGACGACAACACGCTCCTCCTCTGCCAGGATTGCTTGATCCACTGCCCATCCAGAATGCAGATGCTGCAACAGATACGACATGGCGCCCCCCTCCCTCCCTCCCTCTCTCTCTCTCTCTCTCTCTCTCTCTCTCTCTCTCTCTCTCTCTCTCTCTCTCTCTCTCTCTCTCTCTTTCCCCCACCCTTAAGCCGCTGATTGCCCGTGAAGGGATATGCAGTTACAAGCCGAGTTGGTGAATGCGCGCCCCTCTCTCTCTCTCTCTAACCCGCTGATCGCTCGTGATGGGATACGCAAATGCGCGCGCCTCTCTCTCTCTCTCTCCGCTGATCGGTCGTGATGGGATACGCAATTGCAAGCCTAGTTGGTGAGCGCTTTGCCGCGCTTCGATCACTTCGCGCTCTCTGGTTGCCTCTTAATTACTTACACGTGTCTGTATGTGCGCTCGATATGACACGTGGCGGGATGAGGGCTTGATTAGTTTACGCGTGTCCGAATGCGAGTCGGTATGTTAACGGCTGGTAAGAGAAAGCGTCCAACTGCACCTGGTCGAAAAACTGCGCAAATGCGTGTTAAGTGGCGTTCCTTGTGGCCATGTGTGTGCGCACGTACTGGTCGTTGATGTGTTCACACGCGTTCCTTCTTCTTCCCTACCCTATTTCCTTCTGTATCTGGAAAAAATAAAATAAATAAATAAAAGCTGGGAAACTTTCCCTCTAGACAGTCGGGGCCTACGGTACCGTCTTCCCTCGAGCATAAAACAACCTGACTCTGAATGCATACAAGCCATTTTTCGGGTTGCAGCCACAATTGAGGGTGCGTTGTGTTCGGGAGAAGACGGCAGCTCAGTCGGCCTCTCATCTTTTGGAATATTGACCCTCCATTTTTAAGATCCGTCTAATCAACGGCTGATGCTGCGCCTCTCGTACCTTCTGGAAAGGGCCTACCGTCATTATTGCTGTATTTCGATGGAAGGATACACTATACTTCGTATTCCGGTGAAGAAGGGTACCAGCCATGAATTGTTGAATTGGGGTCCCGGGTTCGAATCTCGACGGACATAAAAATAGGAGAGAAGTCTCTTTGTATCCCTGTACAGGATATAGCGGTCCCACCACCGCCACTGGGCCCACGAGAAACCGTGGGGGGGGGGGCGCCGTCGGGTCTGACAGGCACCGACAGGACCAGCGCGGGCGCAACAAACAAACAGTGTGCGTGCCAGGGACCGACAAGGACCGACAGGACCAGCGCGGGGGCAAAAAACAAATGGTGCGCGCGAAAGAGGACCGGCGCGGGCGCAAAAAGCAAACGCTGCGAAAAGACAAGCGAAGAGGACCGGCGGGGCCGCAAACGCCAACGAGGGGAGAGGGAAGACGCGGCCGTGGGCCTGGGCGTCCAAAACAGGCGGAATATTTTGATGTTCTAGCGGAAGATTCATTCGATTTTGCTAATCGTGTGTGTGTGTGTGCAGGTAAGTAGTGTATATTTCGATGTTCTAGCGGAAGTTGCATTCGATTTTGCTCATCGTGTATGTGTGTGTGTGTGTGTGTGTGTGTGTGTGTGTGTGTGTGTGTGAGAGAGAGAGAGAGAGAGAGAGAGAGAGAGAGAGAGAGAGAGAGAGCGGCCAACAGGTAAGCCTCCAACCCCGCGACTGGCCTAACGCGACTTCCATCGATAGGTGAGCAAAATCGAATGAATCTTCCGCTAGAACATCGAAATATACACTACTACACAGG